CTAATCCAATCTAATCCATATTCATTTGGATGAACCACGGATCCATACTAGGATGTCCGCAAATCAGATGCAGCAACCAACCCCTTCTGTGCCGCGGTGCGCCACGCGCAAGTCGGCTGATTCTGATACCTTGCGCAGAAAGACATTGGTTTCTTCCATAAATGGAAAGCCTTTTGTCTGAGGTGTTTGGGTCAAACTCTTTGGACACCGAAAAATTGAAGAACCAATATGGACGTTTTCCTAAGTCATGAGGGTACCCCAAATAATCATATGTAAATGTATACATCAGTCAATAGACCTTACTATTGAAACCCATGGTGACTTGAGAAGCCGAGAAGCCACAAGGCAAGCCGAGAAGCCAACAAGCCGAGAAGCCGAGAAGCCACCGGACAAGCCGAGAAGCCGAGAAGCCGAGAAGCCACAAGGCAAGCCGAGAAGCCAACAAGCCGAGAAGCCGAGAAGCCACCGGACAAGCCGAGAAGCCGAGAAGGGATCAAATCCGCCACCCCGTCTGAACAATACGTTGACTGGGATTTTAACTTCAAAAGCTTGTCTTAGTAAGAAATCAAATGCGCCAACCCCTCTGTCCAATAAGTTGCATAGGTTTTTAACTTCACAACTTTTCTTCCTAAGGGATCAAACCCGCCACCCCCTCTGACCAAGACGTGGGATGGGATAGTAACTTCAACTGATCTTCAAAAGGGATCAAATCCGCCACCCAGTCTGACCAATACGTTGAATGGGATATTGGCTTCACAAGTTTTCTTTTTAAGGGATCAAATCCGCAACCCCTTCTGACCAATACGTTGACTGGGATATCAACTTCACAACTTCTCTTAGGGTCTCAAATTCGCCACCCCCTCTGACCAATACGTTGCAGGGGATATCAACTTCAACTGATTTCCAGGAGGGATCAAAACCGCCACACCCTCTGACCAATCTGTTCACTGGGATATTCACTTCACAACTTTTCTGCATAAGGGATGAAATCCGCAACCCCCTCTGACTAATAAGTCGGATGGGATATTAACTTCAACTGATCTTCAAAAGGATTCAAATCCGCCACCCCCTCTGACCCATACATTGAATGGGATTTTAGCTTCAACGGATCTTGAAAGGACAGTGTCACAGCGTCGCTCTGGCTCGGCAGCGTCGCAGCGTCGAAGCGTTGAAGCATCGCAGCGTCGCAACGTCGCAGCGTTGCAGCGTCGCAGCGTCCACGGCCCCATTGCAGTATCGCAGCGGGGCCTATGTTTTGCCGGAATGTACTACTGGGTGGCATGTGTGTGTGTGTGTAACATCTGAATAGATGTAAAACTTCTACTTTTATAAAGGTTTCATCATCATCATATATATATATATAAATATTTTAGGTTCTTCACCTCATATACTCATGTTCATCTCAGGCTCAGGTCTCATTTCTTTAGGTAGGCTTTTTAGGTTTAGGTTTTTTGTTTTTGTTTTTTAATTAAGTATATAAGCAGGGGGCAGTGGCCCACTCATGAGTCCACTGCCAACGAAGCTACTCATGAGTTGGGAGGATATCGGGACTGATCATCCCGACGTACCTGCATTTTTGTCAAACTTACTTTTCTGCAATGGGACGTGGCTAACCCAAGAACCACCTTGCCGTTGTCAAACAATCAGTTTCTTTTCGCTTTTGCACTGTTGTCGCAATCTTAGAATTCCTCATTTCTGGTCGCAAAGGGTTTTCCTGTCAGGTGAATCTGAATTGTTTTTGCACGTAAGATGCATTCATCATCCTAATTCGATAAGATTGTTCTGAACAAGTGTGTGCTTCATGACGCTTTCGACACGATGTCATGAACTCTTCGGGGAATGCTTTTCTAAGCAGAATGTGACGCCAAGACTCGACCTCCGAATTTACAGTTTTCAACCTAGTAATTCGTTTAAGTAAAGTGAAGAAGCCGTGCACCTTTCAGCTTCTCACCTTTGGTCGGTCGATGTGTTAAACAACTGGCCGCTGAGACTGGCTTCATTTTTTCGGTTGCGCAAGGGTTTGTAGCCTGAAGCTGCGCCAACAATCTCCCTTTCTCAAGAGACTGACCGCAGCCCCTTTACATGAGGACTTAAGGCATCAGGACATGCTTGCAGGTTTGGTGATTTTTCCTTTTGATGGTCTTTGGTACGGAGGAAATTTGCGCATGTAATTCAAGGGTTCACCACGTAAGCCGTCCAAGGGTTGACTTGAACACCGAGGGCCTTGAGCCTAATCACGACTTTGCATGATTTGATGAATGCATCATTTGTTGAAACTGTTGAACTTTTACACCTGAATCCCCTATTTCATGTGTTTCTGCGTGCTCCTCTCTCCAGGTAGGTTTGGCCCTTCGCGTGCCCAGGTAGGTGTAGGTTTCGCTGGTGTAGGTTGGTTCAGGCGCTTCCGTCTTCCCCCCCCTCCGCGGGTCTGGTTCCGTTTCCGTCTGCCTCCGTTTTCTTTTTCCTTCCCCTTTCAGGGTTTGCCCGTGGTGGGCTAGGTTTTCATGTGTTGGTGTTTTCTCCTTCCCTCTGCGTTTGCGTTCCCCCTCTTCGCGTCCTGGTTAAGTAACTTTCATCTCATTGTCATTTTCATCTCATCTTCATTTCCCTTTCTCTTCATTTTCATCTTATTGTCCGGACCTTATCCTCCCACCCTCCTTCGGGAGGGTGGGTGAGTTGTTTCATCATATATTTATATTTTGCTAGGCCTCTCATCTCATCTACTCATGTTCATTCCAGGCTCAGGTCTCATTTCTTTAGTTAGGCTTGTTAGGTCTAGGTTTTGAGGTTTTAAATTGTCCACCCTCCTGCGGGAGGGTGTGTGTGTGTGTAACATCTGAATAGATGTAAAACTTCTACTTTTGTAAAGGTTTCATCATCATCATATATATATATAAATATTTTAGGTTCTTCACCTCATATACTCATGTTCATCCCAGGCTCAGGTCTCATTTCTTTAGGTAGGCTTTTTAGGTTTAGGTTTTTGTTTTTGTTTTTTAATTAAGTATATAAGCAGGGGGCAGTGGCCCACTCATGAGTCCACTGCCAACGAAGCTACTCATGAGTTGGGAGGATATCGGGACTGATCATCCCGACATACCTGCATTTTTGTCAAACCTACTTTTCTGCAATGGGACGTGGCTAACCCAAGAACCACCTTGCCGTTGTCAAACAATCAGTTTCTTTTCGCTTTCGCACTGTTGTCGCAATCTGAGAATTCCTCATTTCTGGTCGCAAAGGGTTTTCCTGGCAGGTGAATCTGAATTGTTTTTGCACGTAAGATCCATTCATCATCCTAATTCGATAAGATTGTTCTGAACAAGTGTGAAACCCGTTATGGTGTTGCAATTCTGACCCCTGAACTTGTATTGGTGAATTATATAAGTTTACAATTTACGTCCTACGTTTTGACTTCCACCAACCCGACATTCAAACTTTGTGTCCGTGGAGCGTCCCTTTTGAATAATTGATTCGGCTGAATGACCAGCCACTGTTCAAGTGAGATGCACTTCGAACGGACTCCTGGCCACGTCGAGCTGGTTGCAAAACCGTTTTGTGCGGTTTGTTCATGTTACCAGTGGGAGAATGGAAATGGAGTAATGCCGGACAGCCAACTATTGGCCACAAATACATATAAGTAACCGTCAAAATTAGTGGAGGGCTCAAGTAGTATAGGTGCTAGACTTGGGATGTTCAAATATGTGTGCAAACCTTTCACGAGCGATACCGGAACATCCACTTACCGGCAACCTATTTTGTCACCTAGCATGGGAGTGCCAAAGTTCACAACCGATAGGGGACCACCTACTTTGGCCACGTCCTTTTCCGAGTACTAAGTCGTTTTGCGCGCCGCTTTTTTTTGTATATTGAGACTTATTTCTTTATATTGTATATCCTCTCACACAGTGTATGCTATTCCTGAATGGTGTTGTCTGAAAGCAAGGTTAAATAACAGAAGGAACGCAATATACCATCGTCATATTGCTATGAAACCCAGAACTTCAAAGGACACCAAAAACTCACCCAGTCACAACGCCTAGGTTAAACTTAGCCTTTGTGAAACTGGGCAATTTTGATGAAATTACAACTTATTATGATACATGTGAAAAGGCCGTGAAAAGTCAGTGAAAAGGCCGTGAAAAGCCCGTGAAAATATGGTTCTTGATGTTTACCACAATCTCCTGTCATTTGGGTAAGTTGTAGCCTTTTAGTCAAACCTGTCCTTTGTGATAACGGACTTAGTAAACCTATCCTTTGGAAGCACTGGGAAATGATGTTTTGACGGTCGGTAAACGTTGGTTAGTCATATCCCAGTATAAATGGTTCAAACCAGATAGAACCAAACCCTTGATTTTATTTTTTCGTAATATATTTTCTTCCTCCCCGAATGCGTAGCGAAGAGTTCTTTGTTTTCTTGGTCGTCGTACGTCTGGGGGCTGAAGCCTTGTTTGCGGCCCGTTGCACGTCGCGACGTTTTGATCGGAATGTACATTCCTGGGCATGACATAAGGATACGCTGGGCGCAAGATGGCTCAGCATGGGCCCGACGACCACGACGACGACGACGACGACAACCACAACAACCACAACAACCACCACCACCACCACAACCACAGCGTGTACGAACCGAAATAACCTGCGGTGTGGGCGGCCACCCCACGCGGAGCGGGGTGAATAAACGATTTTGCCTTCATTGCTCCTGCTTTGTTTCTTTTCGTTAGTCTTTCTGTTTGTGTACGTCATTCTGTACGTAAAATGATAGCAAAAGTAGATTTAACATCGATTTCTTTTAAATGAACCAAAACGCAAAGTGTATCAGCGTGTTCATGACAGTTCAGTGTGTTATTCTTTATTGCTCGCTTAACTTGCAGCAATGCTGCCACCCTGCGGCTCATCCACCCTGTAGCTTGACTGCCACCCGCGGCTTCATTGCCACCCTGCGGCTTGACTGCCACCCGCGGTTTCATTGCCACCCTGCGGCTTCATTGCCACCCGCGGCTTCATTGCCACCCCTCGGCTTCATTGCCACCCCGCGGCTTCATTGCCACCCCCCCACCACCCTGCGGCTTCATTGCCACCCCTCGGCTTGATTGCCACCCCGCGGCTTCATTGCCACCCCCACCATGCGGCTTCATTGCCACCCCGCGGCTTCGTTGCCACCCCGCGGCTTCATTGCCACCCTGCGGCTTGACTGCCACCCGCGGCTTCCTTGCCCCCCCGCGGCTTGATTGCTACCCCGCGGCTTCATTGCCACCCTGCGGCTTCATTGCCACCCGCGGCTTCATTGCCACCCCTCGGCTTCATTGCCACCCCGCGGCTTCATTGCCACCCCCCCCCCCCCCTGCGGCTTCATTGCTACCCCGCGGCTTCGTTGCCACCCCGCGGCTTCATTGCCACCCCCACCACCCTGCGGCTTCATTGCCACCCCGCGGCTTCATTGCCACCCCTCGGCTTGATTGCCACCCCGCGGCTTCATTGCCACCCCCCCCATGCGGCTTCATTGCCACCCCGCGGCTTCGTTGCCACCCCGCGGCTTCATTGCCACCCTGCGGCTTGACTGCCACCCGCGGCTTCCTTGCCACCCCGCGGCTTGATTGCTCCCCCGCGGCTTCATTGCCACCCTGCGGCTTCATTGCCACCCGCGGCTTCATTGCCACTCCGCGGCTTCCTTGCCACCCCGCGGCTTCATTGCCACCCCCACCACCCTGCGGCTTCATTGCCACCCCGCGGCTTCGTTGCCACCCCGCGGCTTCGTTGCCACCCCGCGGCTTCATTGCCACCCCCACCACCATACTCCAGAAGGGCGGTACCAGGGGGGTTTTGACCGGTGACCGGGCAACCGGGCTGACCGGCCTGGTTGACCGGGCCCGGTTGGCCAACCGGCTGACCGGCCAACCGCCGACCGACCGGCCAACCGGCTGACCGACCGGCCAACCGGGCGGCCGGCTGACCGGCCGGCCGACCAACCGGCCCGGTTGGCCGACCGGCCGACCGGCTGACCGGCCAACCGCCGACCGACCGGCCAACCGGCTGGCCGGCCGGCCAACCGGTTGACCGACCGGCCAACCGGCTGGCCGGCTGACCGGCCGGCTGACCGGCCGGCTGACCGGCCGGCCCGGTTGGCCGACCGGCCGACCGGCTGACCGGCCAGTAGTAGTAGTAGTAGTAGTAGTAGTAGTAGTACTAGTCGTAGTACTAGTCGTAGTAGTATAGTTGTTGTAGCAGTAGAAGTAGCAGTAGCAGCAGCAGTAGCAGTAGCAGTAGCAGCAGCAGCAGCAGTAGTAGTAGTACTAGTCGTAGTAGTCGCCGTCGTAGTAGTGGCAGCCCAAACACATATCCAAGAAAAAAGCAAAAGCAAAAGCAGAAAAAGCATGAGGAGGAAGAGAAGAAATTACACGCAAACACCCTTAAACAAAAAAGTAATATGTCAATAACTTTTAGATCAGGATTTGAGAAAAACATAGTTTCCCAAACGGACCAGTTTTTGACAACTTTCTTTACTAAAAAAGGCAATTTGAAGTTCAAAGAAGGGTCCCCTCCACAAATTGCCGAATTTAACTTGTGCGGCAGTCATTGTATTGACACGTGTATGATGTTCATCCTTATTTCTATGTTCTGGTTTTTACAGCTAATATTTGATGGCAGCCCAAACGCACATCCAAGAAAAAAGCAAAAGCATGAAAAGCAGAGAAGGGCGGAGCCGGGCACTCTCCAACCGTGAACCGTGGAACTCAACCGTGGAAACCGTGAAACCGTGGAGCTCGAACCGTGGCCCACGTTTCCACGGTTCAACCGTGGAACCGTGGAACCCGAACCGTGACACACGGTTCCACGGTTCAACCGTGGAACCGTGGAACCCGAACCGCGGCGTACGGTTCCACGGTTGAACCGTGGCGGACGGGCGTACGGTTCCACGGTTCAACTGTGAAACCGTGGAGCCCGAACCGTGGAGCCCAAACCGTGGCCCACGGTTGCACGGTTCAATTGTGAAACCGTGGAGCCCGAACCGTGGCACACGGTTCCACGGTTCAAGTAGTAGTAGTAGTAGTAGTAGTAGTAGTAGTAGTAGTAGTAGTAGTAGTAGTAGTAGTACTAGTACGAGTACCAGTACCAGTACCAGTACCAGTACCAGTACCAGTAGTAGTAGTAGTAGTAGTAGTGGTAGTGGTAGTGGTAGTGGTAGTGGTAGTGGTAGTGGTAGTGGTAGTGGTAGTGGTAGTGGTAGTGGTAGTGGTAGTCGTAGTCGTAGTGGTAGTGGTAGTGGTAGTGGTAGTGGTAGTGGTAGTAGTGGTGGTAGTGGTGGTAGTGGTAGTGGTAGTGGTAGTGGTAGTGGTAGTGGTAGTAGTGGTGGTAGTGGTGGTAGTGGTGGTAGTAGTAGTGGTGGTAGTAGTAGTAGTAGTAGCAGTAGTACTAGTAGTGCTAGTAGTACTAGTAGTACTAGTGGTACTAGTGCTAGTACTAGTACTAGTGCTAGTACTACTTGTTGTAGTAGGAGTCGCAGTAGTAGTACTAGTACTAGTAGTAGTACGGGCTGACCGGCCGGCTGACCGGCCGGCTGACCGGCCGGCCCGGTTGGCCGACCGGCCGACCGGCTGACCGGCCAGTAGTAGTAGTAGTAGTAGTAGTAGTAGTAGTAGTAGTAGTAGTAGTAGTAGTAGTACTAGTCGTAGTACTAGTCGTAGTAGTATAGTTGTTGTAGCAGTAGAAGTAGCAGTAGCAGCAGCAGTAGCAGTAGCAGTAGCAGCAGCAGCAGCAGTAGTAGTAGTAGTACTAGTCGTAGTAGTCGCCGTCGTAGTAGTGGCAGCCCAAACACATATCCAAGAAAAAAGCAAAAGCAGAAAAAGCATGAGGAGGAAGAGAAGAAATTACACGCAAACACCCTTAAACAAAAAAGTAATATGTCAATAACTTTTAGATCAGGATTTGAGAAAAACATAGTTTCCCAAACGGACCAGTTTTTGACAACTTTCTTTACTAAAAAAGGCAATTTGAAGTTCAAAGAAGGGTCCCCTCCACAAATTGCCGAATTTAACTTGTGCGGCAGTCATTGTATTGACACGTGTATGATGTTCATCCTTATTTCTATGTCCTGGTTTCTGCAGCTAATATTTGATGGCAGCCCAAACGCACATCCAAGAAAAAAGCAAAAGCATGAAAAGCAGAGAAGGGCGGAGCCGGGCACTCTCCAACCGTGAACCGTGGAACTCAACCGTGGAAACCGTGAAACCGTGGAGCTCGAACCGTGGCCCACGTTTCCACGGTTCAACCGTGGAACCGTGGAACCCGAACCGTGAAGGTCTCTAGATTTCATCAGAGTTGTCCTCTCCTCCTCTTCCCTGCCAGAAAGTTTTGCCAGAAAGAATGTCAAAATCTGTATGACATTCATGGTGGGGATCACTCGAAGAAAGGTCACCAATGATGAATCTTCGATTTAGGATTCTTGCTTTGGTGAACCACACCTGTGTCTGGAAAGTACTCGTAACTTCTTATGCTAGGTTTGGCCACAGATAGGGTGCTTTCTGTTTCTTTCGCTCTCGCCATCAAGGGTTGTGGTTGAGGAGGCATGTCATTGGTTTATGGTTTTGTCTTCATTGTGTTTGCCGTTGCATTCACACGCTTCGTCCTGCTGAGGCGCATTCTTCCTGATTCATCTCGTGGACGGTGCCTGGTTTCCGACGGGTTTGCAATTGACATGTATTCACTTGTTCGTGTCTCTTTTGGTAGACCTGTAGGTCTTGCTGCAAATGGGTGAAGCTGTTCTGTCAGATGTCGCCCTCAAAGAAATGGGTTCCATTAAACATACCGTCGCGGTCTTGTTGCGCTATTTTTTTTTTGGACCTGGTGTGATCACGATTCAGACCCCGGACCCGAGAACCCACTCCAGCTTCATCTCTATTAACTGTATTCGGTCTCTCCTTCTCACACGTCTTGTTTGTGGGACTTAACTGTGATCTTTCCCATTTCCAAGCATATCGCTCTGCGAGGCCATTGCCGCAGGATGACTGCAAGAAGGGGACGACATCGCGAAGCCTTGTTTCAAAAGGGTGCTTTGGATTGTGTGTGAGATCAGAAGTAACGGTTTCATGTGTACCTGATTGTTGTCAATATTTTCGTTCTGGAAGATAGTCTTCTGATTTCTTTTTTGGCTTTTCTCAGTTTATGTGGCCTGTTGCCATGACCGGAAACGTTGGACTTATTTCTCCACCTGCCAGGTGAGGGTTACTAGATTTTACCATGGCTGCGCGGGGGGGACGGAGGGGGGTGGGCACTGCCGGACCTCAACGGCGAGCTCCAGATCCCAGTGGGCAACGCCGGACCACAACGGCGAGCTCCAGATCCCAGTGGGCAACGCCGGACCTCAACCGCGAGCTCCAGATCCCAGTGGGCACTGCCGGACCTCAACAGCGAGCTCCCGATCCCAGTCAACAACGCCGGACCTCAACCGCGAGCTCTCGATCTCAGTGGGCACTACCCGGCCTGAACGGCGAGCTCCACATCCCAGTCGGCACTGCCGGATCTCAAGGCCAGATAGAATGTCAGATAGAATGTCAGATAGAATGCAAGATAGAATGCAAGATAGAATGCCAGATAGAATGCCAGAAAGAATGCCAGAAAGAATGCCAGATAGAATTCCAAATAGAATGTCAGATAGAATGCCAGATAGATTTCCAGATAGAATACCAGATAGTATGCCAGAAAGAATGCCAGATAGAATGCCAGATAGAATGTCAGATAGAATGCCAGAAAGAATGCCAGATCCTGATGCGTGTCTTTCTTTCTTGCTTTCTTTCTTTCTTTCAATAAAAACCATAGATTTTTTTTCTAGCGTTCATTGCGTTAATTGAATTGGTTGCGACTCGGCGTTCCCAGCATGGGCTGCGCATAATCTTGCTGTCTGCCTTTCTGTCTGTCACTTATCTTTTCCTTGCTTTCCTTGTTTGATGCAGGTTTAACAATCGCTATGACAAGGCGTGGAATCAGAAGCTCGGTCGAAACTTCACGACCCCCATCCCACAGTTCAGCACGGACGGATGTGTGATTTACTGATGCTGTTCCATCTTAACACAATCTTTACAGATTTTCTCGTTGGCACAACCTTTGAATGTTTGCCCGCTTGAAGTGACATGTCTTGATGGACTTTGCTTTCTCATCTTTTCCTGGTGCTGCATTGCCCTGTGTTTCTCGCTCCTCCACTGTTTCTATCCCTCTCTCTTTCTCTGTTACTTTCCGTTTCCTTCTATGTCTCCCTTTCCCGAGGTTGGATCGCAATCGCGTCAAGAAATCCGTTAAGTGCAGGGATTTCTCCAGAGGAGACTGCCGAAGAGGAAGTCGCTGCCGCTTTGTGCACGCGACGGCAAAGGACATTGGGTTCATGGATGAAATTTGCTTTTCGACAATGAAGCACAGCTACTACACTGATTTGTATGACCCCCGAAGAAGTCGAGAGGACGCTTCAAGGAGAAAGTTGTGGACGACCAGGTTTGGGGAATCCAAGCCACATTTCTCAAGTAAGGATCTACATTCTGCTGCTTTGCCTTTGAAACTTGAAAACGCAAAAGCATTAGATAGATTTCCATTCCTTTGAATCAACCTTCACTTTCCTTTCTTTTTAGTTTCGAGAAAATCTAAGAAGACATACGGATATATATTAATATCGCTTTCGTTCTTACTTCTTTTCCTTAATAATAATTAGGAAGAGATGCTTTCATTTCCCTTTGCTTTCACTTTGGTTTCTTGTCCTGCCTTTCAGCTTGTGGCAGTGAAACCAAGCACA